CAGCTCCACCAATCAGCAACCTGAGTCCACTTTGACATTCTGCCCAATTAAATGCTGGCGCTAAAAGATTTCCTTATTTGTCAAACCAGAGCCAAAGTATAACTTCACATGATGCTCCACATTCCTCATTTTAGGGAAGAAAGTGCTTCTTGTAGGAGTTGTCACGAAATACAACTTGTTTCTTGTAATTTTAATACTTTATTATCTTAATAATACGACTTTATTTTCGTAAAGTTACGACTTTATTCTCGAAATAGAAGAAAAAAAATCTCATACTAGTACTGTAATACTCCGTTGTAGTAAATCAAAATTGTTATCATGACTAGAAATATAAGGCAACCATATGATAAATACACTAATAATACTAGTTTGGCTTTGATATGTTGATACTCCAAATATAAAAAAGCTGTTTAATGTAAATCAGTAACCAAAACTGTAGACACTTCCTTTTAAAATTTTATGTTCAGGTTTTATTTTTAGAGGGCTGCTCCTCCACCGACAGCAGAAGTGAGTCACAGCTGTACTTTCACAGCAGAGGTGAACAAAGGGACGACAGGGATGAGTTTGGTCTGTCAGCGAGGATGATGAAACCTTTTCCTTCTTCTAGGCGGGCTGACCGCAGTTTCTGAGAATAGAGTTGAACCAAAACAGAAATCCCCTCCCCGTCCTCCGTCTCCATTACTGAGGTCCATTCCACGGCTCCTGCGACTTGCTGCCTAGCAACCAAATAAACAGCGTTCTGCAGGAGCTCAACACACACACCCAGAGCAACAGACACCCCGGTTTGACTCTGGGCTGGGCCGGGACCTTTTGACGCTCCGTTAGAGCGACCGCTTTGGAAGCTGAGGCATTCGCTTCCATTCCTCAACTCCTCGCTGACCGCTCCAACAACACACACACTGAAAAACACGTAGAATAGTCTGAGGGCTGATTGGGAAAAGTGGAAGAGAAACTAAGACCAGATGCCTTCAGATCTGTTCTCAGAGGATCCGTCTGGTGGGAACATGGAGACTTGGTTGTGTTGAGTGTGAGCAGATGTGGTGATTATCACCAAACAGAATCTACATGTGTAGAACGACTTAGGCCTGCATGCACCAGCTGAAACCCTTTCAGGGTAGGCTGAGGTCTCGAATTAGCTCCTAGAGCAGGGGTCACCAATTAAAAATGACCAGGGTCCGAATAAAGAAAACCAACCTGTAAAGGTCCGGAGAAATTTTTTTATTACAAACTGTTCATTTAAACAGATTTTAACACTTTTTTAAACATTTTAAAATCTAAAGTGTTTTTCTTAAGTAGAGAAAAACAATCTTTCAGTTTGGTTTATAGACACTTTCCTGATTAACTTATTTCATAAAACACCTGAACTGACCGTTTGTTTTAATTCTTTCTTTTTTCTGTCTTAATGTTCGCAGTGGGCTTTATGCTGCCCTGCAAGGCTTTAAACCTGGGTTTGAATGGAGACTAAGCCATTCTAAAGCACATATCAAGGTGCTCATTTTGAGCCTGGATCCATATTTATTTTTGATTCTGTTCATGGTGGAGAATCCTGCTTCACAGCAGCAGGTTGAGCCAAACATACTCCAAATGTGCAGGGTCATCTTTGATCACGCCATTTCACTTTTTTTTTTCACCAATTCACCGCAGTTCTTCCAGCAGTCCACGCTTTCTTTCACTT